CAAAGGTCAGCACACAGTGGTCGCTATGCCCCAGTGGAGCGTTAATTGTTACCTGATCAACGAAGTGTCTTTCGTTGGTGATGACCAAATCCAAGAGGGATGGTAGTTGGCCTGGGCGGTATCTGGTGGGTGCAGCGACATGTTGGGTCCAAGCGTTCTGTCGAACGACTTCTAACAGCGCCGCTGCAAAAGGTCCGCCTAATTCGACGCCCTGGAGTGCAATCCAGGAGGCCTTTGGGCCGTTGAAGTCACCTACCAGCAGGATATGAGTAAACTGGTAATTGGAGGAGAGTTGCCCAAGGGTTTGTATGAGGAATTGGTCATCTTCAAAGGGACTCGAAGGGCTACGGTAGACCACGCCAAGAAGGAGAGAATCGAACCCGCGCAGCGGGATTTGGACCCACAGTGCATCGCAGAAGGGTGCAGGGGTGGTGTCGGGGAGGACAATCGGGATTGGTAGGGCCGCATGTATGTGGAGAGCGACCCCACCTGCCCGCCCTCGTTTTGAGTCAGCTCAAAAAATAGAGTAACCGTCTATCGAGATCTCCACGTCAGAGACATCTGATGTGAGTCAGGTCTATGTGAGTGCGATTATGGACGGTTGTTCAAGGCCAGCTTACTGTTTAACATCGCCGAGTTTGTTGAAAAGGCTGAGGCAGTTTGTGGACAAGCATTTCAACTCTGCCTCTGCTGCCTCCGAGGGTGAGGAGCCGAAAGTTGAGTGACCAGGTTGTTTAGAAGACTTAACGGTTGTGCACCGGGTTTGAGTCTGAGTCCAACGCCCCAAAGGGGCCTCTGGAGTCATGTTGTCTGCTTCCTGTCTTTGTGGTTCCTGGGGGTGCTTTTCGCCTGCGATGTTTTTTTCGTTCTGTGGGAGCTAGGTTTGCCCGGGCCTTTTGGCTTTGGTGGACGGAACTTTTATCCCCATGGGCAAAAATTTCGACCGATGCTGTTTGTAGCTCTTTTAGCATCCTCTCTACGTCGACCAGATTTGCTGCTGATCAAGGATTTGCTGCAAGCTTTCGCCTTTCTAGATCCTTGGGTGTTTTGGCGCGGTTTGACCGGAAAAGTGTCTCTGTGAGGCCCTGAGCTCTGGGTGGTTCCCATGAGGCTCGTTTTCGCGGAGGACTGTACCTTGAAGACATCCAGCAGTTTTCTAATCTGGCGAATCTGATGGGGCTTGTTTGGCTGCAGTCGCTCTTCTTTCGTGTTTGTGTGGACCCCCGATCCGCCAGCGATCAGCGCGGCTAAAGAAACCCAAATGGAGAAAATGACTGGGAGTGTTAGGACGTGTGCTGAACCAGGTCGGATGCTTGAAAAAATTCCAAAACCATCGAATCCTTCGGCCCACGTGACCTCGAGCGATGAGACTATGTATTTTGGTATAAAACTTGCGTCGGAAGTTACTGCTCCCTTTGTAATTGGTACGCAGGCGTCCCCCGTGGCCTGATGCAGAGACAAGCAACGTCTTCACAAAACCGCCGTGCTTAGGCAGACTTAACTTCTTGTAACGCCTCTGAGGTCTGGCTTCCGTGTTTTCCTCTGAGTTAAGCGGGGGCGATGTAGAGTGCTAAATGGGTTCGCGTCCATTTCTGTATTCCGCCCACCCTGTGTCCTCGATAGTGGTCTTCAGTTGCATCTTGATCGTCCGCATGCTCACTTTGTCATGCAGTTGGTAAGTAGCAGAATAGTTAAGCTATATAGTACAACGGCATGTCGTTCTGGGACGTCCAACAACTTCTGTTACAACAGCTGATAATTATCTGAAAGGACACGGTCACCTCGTTTCCACAGAGAGACGGCTCTTCGTGGTTTCTTGCGTAAGAAACTCAACAAGCCATTCTGTCTTAGAGCTCGTCCCGTCCTACCTTGTCCTTTCCCAAAGACGGACGTGGTTTCCTTGATATTCGATGCGGGATTCAGACGCTCCTCGGTGGAAAATCGAGGTTGATTTCTCCGGGACAAAGAGGTATTCAAGGTGGCGAATTTCACTGGGAGCTTGTCTACCCTTTTTGCATGTTCCAGTGATATGTTACTCATGCCACAATATTCAAAGGTGCAAACTTTTTAAGACTGTGACCATCACCAATTCGCATGTGATTACCAGTTAACGAGAAAAAGACCGCGCAGTATTCGCCGAACGGGATCGATTTCTCAAAGATAATGGTGGTTGACAGTGTCTATGCCTGCTGGGTTATCCTGCAATTTTTTGTATGGTTGACTTGTTTCACAGAGCACCTCGTGAGGAGTATCACTTTCGTGGAGCTGAAAAATGTGTGTATATCTGCAATAAGGAAACGCCAATCGAAATAAAAGGTGCATTCCGCACAATGGGCAAAGTTGGCGTGTAGCTCTGGAGCTGAAGTGGTTCATGGGATCTGCTAGAGACCACATTATACTCGTGGATGCGAAACGTCACAGCGTCAATCCTGCAATCAAATTGGGCTTTGCATCTATCGGTCGTCTGGACGGAAGATGAATCATTTGGTTTCTGATCACCCGAATGACTGCTCCGAAAAGTCAACGTTTCAGACACTCATCCTATTTAGAAAATTCGTGCTATATATCAATATCATGAGGCCGTAGCTGAAAACGACCCCTGGTCACAAGTCAAGCTTTCTAGTGCCCCGCTTGATACCAGCGTAGAAGTGTTACGGTCCACGATGCCTAATCAACTAGCCACGTGAAAACCATGTCGGACATAGCGGATGGCAGAACGAACCTAGCTGACACACACGAGTAACATGCAGCTAAGGGTCTATGATGCCCAATCACTTTGCCGAAACTCGCCCACCCATCAAAGGCAAAAAGTCCGAAAAAGATTGTACGAGATCAAAATTTGAACATAATCAGTCGTGTTTATCAGTACATTTGCTCTGCATGGCAGCGTACGGCCTTCTTGGTGTGCAGTGTGCACTGTCGTGCTGGCGTTCTGAAATGAGAGGAAGATATAAGTGAGGTTATCAAAATAACGCTGGCCTTTTTACACAATGCCATCATCAACGGCTGGTTCGCGTTGTGCGAGTTCTTGCGGCTTGGTGCTTACAGTTTACCGCCAATAGGACCTCAAGGAATACGAGACATGCAGAATGCATGATGTCTCATCGACGGACGAACAGTCCGGAAGTGATAGGTGTATCACCCATTGCGTTGACATTTGAGATTTCACACGGTTATTCTGTCCCCATTTATAAACCCCGCTCCACTTTTGTGTTTGGTGCGTGTAGAGTAACTGACGTTTATGTGTCCTTACCATTTCATTCAATTGCAATTGAGGTCACCCAGTAATTTGCGGAAAAATTTGTGCGCGTGTGACTGTCCCACTTGGGAGCCTGCTTGCCCAATCGGTTCATACTCTTGTAGTTCAGGTGGACCATTATTTTTGGACGAGTATCTACTGTCGATGATTGTATAATTTATGAATTAGTCTTACATTAATAGTACCGTGTTGAAACCCAGCTCCGACTTTGTTTTGCCTCGGGGCTCCTAGGAAGTGATGGGTGTATCACCCATTGCGTTGACATTTGAGATTTCACACGGTTATTCTGTCCCCATTTACAAACCCCGCTCCACTTTTGTGTTTGGTGCGTGTATAGTAACTGACGTTTATGTGTCATTACCATTTCATTCATTTGCTATTGAGGTCACCCAGTAATTTGTGGAAAAATTTGTGCGCGTGTGACTGTCCCACTTGGGAGCCTGCTTGCCCAATCGGTTCATACTCTTGTAGTTCAGGTGGACCATTATTTTTGGACGAGTATCTACTGTCGATGATTGTATAATTTATGAATTAGTCTTACATTAATAGTACCGTGTTGAAACCCAGCTCCGACTTTGTTTTGCCTCCCCGGGGGCTCCTATATTACGCGAGGATACCGTTCGCCGCTACAATGGGCCTTCCATGTTTCCTTTGTGTAACAAAGATCCAGCCTCCACAGGAATTTGCGTCCACCGTCCAACTGCTGAATTGTCGATTTTCGTCACGTCGCCGCCCAGGTACCAAAGTAATAGTAATACTGTTTAGTCCCAACTTGCGGGTGGCGCACCGTCAGGTATGACAATTATGTCGCATTTGCAGTTACTGGAACCAGTGGGCGAGAGCACACGGTCGAGAAAAGGGATGGACTATTTGCGGGTGTGCTATCAAACTGGACATAGCAGTGCTGTGACGTTATTCGCCTGATATGCTTCGGTCTTCGGACAGCCCCGTAAAGAAAAAGGGATGGACTATTTGCGGGTGTGCTAGCAATCTGGACATAGCAGTGCCGTGACATTATTCGCCTGATGTGCTTCGGTCTTCGGACAGCCCCGTAAAGGACGTCATATGTGTGATTCTTTGAGAAGCGTGGTTTATTTCAGTCTGGCCGAGGAAACAAGGTGTAACAAACCCGATATGGGATCGCAGGGTACTTTCGTTCCCCTTGGGGATCCTGTGGTTGTAGATCAAAGGCCAGGTGGCGAGGACAACGGCCAACTAGGTCATCCAAACCGGGTATTGTCGAAGCTAAAAACTTGAGAAAATGATGGGATGGGATGAGATTAGTAAAGCACGGTGAGTTTCAGGAGACATCAAAAGGGATAATGTGCATTAATGAACACGGAAACGAAGACCTAACGTCTACCGCAATTACGGTGATGACGAAGTGATTATGTGGAATAGGGTTGGGATGGAGTTGTACTTAGTAGACTAACGACAAAGGGCTGGGTTTGCTAACATACGATATTAATGTACAGGGGATCTAGTAAAAGCCTACATAAGTACGCAGAATTGTGGTTTGGTCAGGGGAATCAGATGAATAATGGCTGATGGGAGTGAACTTTAGGGATGACTGGTTGATCTGGTATTTATTACATGAGTTGAATGGTGTCAGGAAAGAAAGCAAGTATAGTAGAAATAGTCACTAGTCCCCGAAGCACTGCTATCAGCTTCAAATTAACAGGTAGTGCATGGCAGATAAAAGGCCTTTGGGCACTAGTCTTGAATGTGTAGGGAACCCCTGTATATATATATTCCTCATTGTGCATGTTCACTCCTGAGAGCATTGTGTAGGTGCGTGTTTTTGTTTGTTTGACTAAGTTGTCTTTGTTGCGGTACAACCACAATTTTGGCGTGTAAGCCGTGAGCATCATAGAGTCCTCGGACTATTTCATCTGTGCTTTTTACGATTTTCTTTTTTTACAGACGGGAGACTAGTTTTTTCATTCGTTTATTTTTTCACCGTCTGTATCTATGGCTCTGCCAGCCAAATGACTCAACTGGGACGAGTCTAGCCCGGCAGCAACGAACAGAAAGCAACAGTGTTCCTTTATTTATTTCCTGAATTCAGGGCTATGCTAAGAACCACAAGGAATGGGTGAAGCACCCGTGCCCCTGGATGGGTGGCGGCTTTACGACCATACTATGATGCAACGCAAAAGGCGACCCTGCCTGCAGGCCGTACCGGCCACCTCAAGAGGTTTTCATCCCTCGTGCATGCTACCAGATCCGCAAGGTGGCATGCCACCAAGCAGACATAATTGCATCTTGTGCATTAATAAAGAACTCCAGCTGCCAGATAATTTATCCGATCGGGGGGGGGGCAGACAAGCCAACAAAATAGCTCAGTCATTTCGAACAAGCAGACGACAAACAGCTGCTGGAAAAGACAGGTATTGGAGGTAAATGAAGCAGTAGCTTTCATTGGGACGATAGGGGCAGAAAGGAGATGGCCGGAGCGCATGAACCATGGTTAAATGATGACGAAGACTGAGTTATCGGGACAAACAGTGGCATACCGCAACGTTATATGCTTGTTATAAAAGGGT